GGCATATAAGTATGTACATATGCAAATACATATCGTGTAAGAGTGCTGTTACTAATGAATTACTCTTTTTTTTCTAGGCGCTAAGCAGCAGTAATTGCACTTTTGCGGCAATAACGTTCTTCATTACAGAAGAAAATCCACAACGCGGAGTAGCTTTGAAAATAACTTCAAACTTCTCAAAGCAATTGGATTCATTTCATATGCTGAGTTCCGCAGATGCAGTGGTGGTCGCCTGTGAACTACTCGTTGCCAAAAATATGACAATATCATTAACTGAAAGTGAAAAACGACATTGCATTCACATTATTTGTATGTTGTCTCCAGATGCCTGTAATCGTAGCCAAATAAGACGCTCGGGTGCCTTAAGAAAGCTCATTGCAATGGTTCGCGATTCACAGTCAAATACGGAAAAGTCTCAGGTAATGCATAAGTCTGTAATGCACTTAAGAAATAATCTAACTTACCTATGTACATATGTATTCGTTTTCCACCAGATCTTATATTTGTTAAAAAAATTTCAATATGATAACATGAGCATGGATTCGATGCTTAGAGAAGGTCTGGTACCAGTAATTATAGGCGAACTCAACATCTTCTTGACCATTGATGAGGAATATTATAAGAGGAAACGCGAAGAAAAACAGCAAAATTTTAAGGAACGGAAGCTATCGACAGAAGTTTGTGTGGAATCCAAAAGCAAGGTAAATATGTACATACTTAAAAACGAAGACTTTAATAAACTAAACACTTGCAACATATTTTCCTGACAGACGATTAAAGTGCAAGACAAGGCATTCCTTATTGATTGTGAGTATCCGAGCAGTTCACCACGTTTATATAATACACCCTCAAGTTCTTGCAGCTCCCGGAGCATGTCGCCAGTTGGCAACAATTTGTTTAAACTAAAAGGTAGTTACCGGAATGTACGTTAATATTAGAAATTAGACTCACGCCTTTTGATATTTTGCAGAAGATGCTTCTGATGATGAAACGTATTCACCCATTTGCAGTGATGAGGAGGATGATGAGGATGGTCCCACTGAGAAAAATAACGAAGGAAATCCAGTTAATGCTGATACCGCCGACGACTCCAGCTTTCTTCTTCGTCAAAGTGCCAACAATAGCACTGCCGATAATTCAGAGATAATCAGACTACTGGACATTGCCTGCCAAGCCAATGAGACAATCGAAGACAATGTGCTTGATAAAGAAAAAGACGATGAACAGAGTAAAGATGTACTATACCAAAAACTACCACAGCTGGGTAATATGCCTCGCAGTACCCTGGGTCACTTTGAAAATTTACTTTTCCGCGTTACACTGCTCATCAACAAACGAGGCGAGCTGGGCAAGTCTCAAACTATGACTACGCTTATCAAGGCCATAAATACATTTAGCGCAAACAAAAACTTCGCAAGCCCATTAACAAACATCTTACAGTAAGTTTATAAAAAAAAATTAACAGCGGTATATTTGTAAATAACTTATGTTTTCCAAAGGGAGAGTCAGTTTTTCGCTCAGGTGATTCGCAGTGGCATAGCGCATCAGCTCTATCAATGGACGAAAAGCGAAGAAGTGTATTTAAAATTAGACTTTTAAAATTAAAATACGTTTAATAATCCTACATTATGGTAAAATAACCAACCCTGCGGATGCATCAATTGATTCCTTAAGGCAAGTTATACATGGTATATGTACATATAGAATTATATACTGTTACTCAAAAAATTGAGCGTACGGCTCTGTTTTGTTAATATTCCCAATGTTTTACATGCTAAAATTTTTTCGCTAATTTTGTATTAAAATATGGCTTATATTTTAGCAATCCCCATTTAAATCCATGAATAAAACTGTTAACGAATATTAAGAAAAACCTGCAAAGTTTCAGTAAAATCACAAACTTATTAATACGAATTTCTAAAAAAAACCATCAGGAATGCAGTTTTATGGCCCATTAAATTTTAGTATAATATAATGTGTAAATTTCAAATGCCTTAAAAAATCGCGTTGCTTTTTAGATTTTTTTTTGCTGACTGCGCTAAGCATTTTTTTCACAAAAAAAATCTGAAAATTCTTTACATGGAAAAAATGCGTAGGACAGTCAACGAAAAAATTCTCAAAAATCAACGCGATTCTTTTAGACATTTAAAATTTTTACATTATTATACTAAAATTTAATGGGCCATAAAACTGCGTACCTGATTGTTTTTTTAGAAATTCGTATCAATAAGTTTGTGATTTTACTGAAACTTTGCAGATTTTTCTTAATATTCGTTAACAGTTTTATTCATGGATTTAAATGGGGATTGGGTGTATACATGCAACACACTTTTTGGAACGAATCGTTATTGGCGATTCGAACAAATTCAAAAGTGCGGTAACGAATACATACGGTTTGCTATACGATACAACAGCGAGAGCATCCTCATCGCTCTCTCTCCCACCCAAGCCGGTATGTATTCGTTACCGCACTTTTGATTTCTTCCTCTACCTCACAAACCGTATGTATTCGTTACCGCACTTTTGAATTCTTCCTCTACCTCACAAACCGTATGTATTCGTTACCGCACTTTTGAATTCTTCGTCTACCTCACAAACCGTATGTATTCGTTACCGCAATTTTGTATTTGTTCGAATCGCCAGTAACGATTCGTTACAAAAGGTGTTGCGTGTATATGCACATCCATAACTAACTAACATAACTAAACAACATTTTAACTAATTTCAAATTGATTTTATAGTAATAATGGATAAAAAGAGCAGCCGAATGTGGAACTTTTTCACACCCGTTAATGATGGAAAGGCGAAATGCGATATATGCAAATCGCTTTATTCAGTAAAAGGCGGCTCCACAACAAATTAAAAAAAACACTTGGTAAAAAAACATCCTTCATCTTACGAAAACATAATATCATCCTCCGTGTCAGATACAACAACAGTAGTTCAAGAGGATCCTGTACCATTAACGTCATCAGATACAACAACAGTAGTTCAGGAAGATCCTGCACCACCAACGTCATCAGATATTCAAATAGGTAATACACCAACAAATGAAACAAGATCAAAGCAAACTAAGTTAAGTGCCTTTATTGAGCGTCCCGTAAGTGTAGTTAGAGAAAAAAAAAATAAACGATTTAATTTTTAAAATGGTTGTTAAAGACCTTCAGCCCTTTTCTGTAGTCGAAGACACGGGCTTTAAAGATCTGCTCACTTACTTAGAACCAGGCTATAAAATACCTTCAAGGTACATATTAAGCAATACTTTGCTGGATGCACATTATTCAGACGCTCAGAAACGTTTAAAGGAAGAATTGCAAAGTGTAAAACATATCTCGATTACAACCGAGGGTTGGACTTCAAGAGCCACAACTTCTTACCAAGCCGTTACGGCCCATTATTTATTAAATTGGGAACTAAAATCAGCTTTATTAGGATGTTTTGAGTGCCATGAGCGACATACGGCTGAATACATAAAAAATGAGTTGTGTAATTTATTGTCCTATTGGGAAATACAAAGTAAAATATTTGTCTGCGTTACAGACAATGCAGCTAATATGAAAGCGGCTATACGGTTAGGGAAAATCGAACATTTGCCGTATGTCGCTCATACACTCAATTTGGTTGTGCGTGCGGGACTACAAGATTCCGAAATCGAGAGACTGATTAAAAAAATTAAAGCAATTGTGGAGCATTTTCACAGAAGTCCAGTGGCTACCAAAAAACTGATTACAATACAGGAGCAAATGAGACCTAACCAAACGCTATTGAAATTGAAAATGGACGTGGTCACCAGGTGGAATAGCACCTTGGACATGATTGAGCGGATCTGTTTACTTCAGGAGCCTTTAGAAGCGGCTCTTGGAATCCTCCACAACCCGGTAGAAAACCTCTCGGAAAGTGAATGGAAATCACTTCCAGACATTATAAAAGTTTTGAAGCCATTTAAGCAACTCACTGAAGAAATTTCTTCGGAAAACAAAGTAATAGTATCAATAGTTTTAGCTGCTACTGAAGGTATTATAAGAACTTCCGACCATTTAAATACAGTTATTGTTACAGAAATTGCAAAGAAGCTATTAAGCAAAGTAATAATGGAGTTCAAAATGAGATTCAAAAATTGTCATAGACATCCACTACTATCCAAAGCAGCGTTGTTAGATCCGCGCTTCAAGAAGCTAGCATTTACATTTGATTTATCAAGTTATGAGTCTGCTAAAGATGCTCTAAAAACTGAGCTTGAATGTAATTTTAATTTTCATAAAGAGCAGTCAGGGAACATAAACAAACCCACCTCTGCAATAGACACCGATGGCCTTAGTGCTGTTGAAGGTTCAATTTGGAAAGATTTTGACGCTATAGCAGAGTCGAACTCTGTTTCGAACTCCACGGTTACAAGTATAATTACGATGAGGCAATACTTCGAAGAACGAATCCTTTCCAGAAATGATTGTCCTTTAAGATGGTGGCAGACACGTTCAATTCTGTACCCTGAGCTATCAAGCTTGGCCCAGAAGTATTTCTCGGTAATAGCAACTTCGGTACCATCCGAAAGAACTTTTTCAAAGTCTTGCCAAATATTAAGCGAGAAGCGTAGTTCAATTAAACCAAAACGAATGGAAAAAGCTTTGTTTTTAAATATGAACCAAAGGTTCCTACCTAAATAAGTGCCTGCTTATCATTTTGAATCGTTTTTTTTTACTTATACGTATTTTAATTACAATTCAAAAATGACTATTTTTATGAATAAGGCCATTAGAATTTAACCAAAAAACCAAATGGGAATACATAAATATAAAAAACTGTCAATATTCAAACTTCAGTACCTGTATGAAAAAAGTATGATAGTTAA